CCTCAGCCAGAACCCGGTCAGGCCAACTGCACCGTCTGCGCCCGCCCAGGACTCGGCTCAAGACTATGGGCGACAGGGCCTTCGAGGCTGCTGCTCCCCGTCTGTGGAACGCCCTCCCCAACCACCTCAGGGCTCCACAGTCGGTGGATGCTTTTAAAAAAGGACTCAAAACCTTCCTTTTTCAGAAAGCCTATCCTGACTAATCTTATCTGATTTTATCTGCTGACTGTTTTTATTGTTTTGTTCTGTTGCTCGATTTTACTGTTATTGTTTCTTTTATTTGCCTTTGTACTGTGCACTTTGAGATTTGTATTCAAATGTAAAGTGCGTTATAAATAAAATCTATTATTATTATTATTATTATTAGCCTTAACCTCTGTTGTTGTTAAATGTCTGGAGAGAATTGTTTTAAATCACTTGCTCAGTGACGTGCAAAGTAGACTCGATCCATTGCAATTTGCATATACCAGGGGAGAGGCACAGATGACGCTCCGCTTTGTGTTACATAAAATTTACTGTCATCTTGATCAATCAAAACAATGTCCCAGCTAGAGGTCAACAGCAATATTATTAAATGGGTTGAGTCTTTTCTCACTGACAGATGGCAGTGCATGAGAGTGAACAGCGCAGTGTCCCCCCCTATTAGGACCAACACAGGGGCTCCTCAGGGGAGCGTCATCTCTCCTGTGCCGTTTACTCTTTATACTAATGAATGTTGAGCCAATTCATCTGACGTTTTTAATGTAAAATTTGCCGACGATACAGCTATCGTTGGTTTGATAACGGAGGATGAAATTAAATATCGTGATTGTGTGGATGAGTTTGTTAACTGGTGTCGTGCAAGTTTTCTTCAGTTGAACACCAAGAAAACAAAGGAAATGATTTTTGATTTTAGGGTGGATAAAATAACACACCAACATTTAGCTATTGACAACGATTGTATTGAAACTGTAAATGAATATAAATATTTGTGCACGGTCATTGATAACAAACTGACGTGGAACTCAAACACAAATGCTATTTATAGTAAAGGACTGCAACGACTATACTTTATGCGGAAGCTTAGACAGTTTGGTGTTGACAAACATATCATGCTTCTGTTCTATCATTTCCTTTCTAGAGAGTATTTTGACTTTTTGTTTTATTGCCTGGTTCTCTTCACTCTCAGTTGTCAATAAGAACAAACTTAATAAGATTGTCAACATGTCCAACAAGATTGCGGGTCAGAAGCAGCGCAGCATGACAGAGCTTTGAGAGTCCCGGGTAGCGGGAAAGGGACGGGCAATCCTCGCTGATGTATTACATCCTCTGCATGGCGAGTATGAATTATTACCATCAGGACGGAGGTACAGAGTGCCGTCTCTTAAGACCTCCCGTGCCCAGAGGTCCTTTATACCTTTTAGCATAACTCTGTTAAACAGAATGGGTGAACCTGGGTGATGCTATGTGGGCACTTTGGTTGTTTTGTTTGTTGTTTTGTTTGATGGATGTTTAAATTGTCTTTATTGTAATGTCCAATGTTATGAATTGTCTGAGGGTTTTGTCTTCATTGTAATGTTTTATGTATCTTCATCTGGTTTTCTGACGGCCACAGACACAAGAAAAATTTCCTACAGGACAATAAACAATATATCTACTGTCTTCACAATTTATTGTTTCTTATCTGTGAAATTAAAGTAAATCAAAGCTTTGTTTCCACTGAGGGAAATGGTTTCAGCTTACACAGACAGACAGGAGGTCTGCGTCACTGTGACATGTAGGTACATTAATGGGGAGGTGCACGTCAGGCTATAGTTTAGGGTACGGCATAGACTCTACGTCAACTCAGAGCCTGCACTGTAGGTACAGCGCTGATTGATGCAGAAGTATAAATCCTGCTGCAGCTGTGAAAGTCTCTTCAGACTTGTGGTGACCACAGACCTTATTTCAGACATCTAACCCTAAACCCTCTGACTTTGAGACGAGGGAACGGGAGTGGTGACATTTGAACTCATTTCTGGGTTTTTGGACTCGTTCCTGGCGAGCTCCGTTTTGTTATGCTCAAGAAGTTAATGACAAGCAGACAGTGTTAGCTAGCTAGCACTGTAGCTGGTTGAAAAGTTGTGCACATTAAATTATATTACACAGATATTAACCAAAGAAAACAAGACACATTGATGCTTGATAAACGTTTTAATCTTTCCTCAAGACAATGAATTATTTTCCAACATGTTGCTGTCAGCTGAACACACACTCCTCTACTGAACGTCCAGCCTAAATATTGAGAATACGATCAGACCAAACTTTTTTCCTACACGTTGCGTGTGTTAACAGACCAGTCCTGCTCTCTCCAGTATGGCAGCGCCATTAATGCATTGCTGCAACAGGCTGATACAGTCAATGTTAATAATAATAATAATACATTTTATTCATAATGCCCTTTTCATCAAAAGATCTCAAAATGCTACAGGTTAAAAACAAAGAAAGATAAAAAAAAGGAAATGGAAGAGAATAAAAACAAGATGAGCAGTTATTTAAAAGGTTTTAAACAAAAACAGATCTTTGTCAACATTCTTTAATCCACAAATTTAAGGGATCTTTATCAAAAATGTCTGTGTATGTAAAAAATCCATCCTGTGTGTTTTTGCTCCCTGATCATATTTTTCTTACATCTCTTCAACAGCTGTAATTTTGGTAATTTTCTGTCCTTGTATTTCTGCATCTGCTGAGAGTGGCATTTTATTAAGGAGACTTTCTTTAAAATCTCCCTTCAGGTCGAAGCCAAATGCTTTTGCCAGAAGTCGAGAGGCCACAACCAACGTGTGCACCTGTTGGTTGAACTCTGCCTCCAGGTGAGTCTCCTTCTTCGTGGCTTTAATGATTCCCATAACCTGAATCTTCGCATTGTGGGTGCCGACACTTTGAACCTGCGTAAAGACAGATTGATATTAACAGACAGAGTTCAGGATATGATGGAAAATACATTTAAAACCATTTAATAAAAGTGTTTCAACACCTAACGGCTCATAGCCTGAGCAGTGAAGAGGGTGTGATGTCTGATTCAGATGTTCTTTGTTCCACAGACTAAACAACAAACATGGCCGACTGGTGACTTGGAGAGAAGCGGAGCAGAGAGATCACAGGTACCTTGTCAATTCTGGTGTATCCAGTTGAGTCCAGCGAAATGTTGTCATAGTACTTCTTGGTCTTCATGTTGGAAACCTTAATGACATCTCCTGGTGATAATCCTTTGCACTGCTCGGTGGTGTCGCCCCACATGCAGATCCTGATGGAATCAGTCTCATCTTCCAGCTGGAAAGTTTGCTTCTTTGTCTTCTCCTGTTTGTGCTTCACATTAACTTTTTCCACAGGATTAATCTGAACAAACACAAGATCAAAACAAAACTGTAGATAAAGCCTAGAAATCACTCTTATTAACTGGATACTCATGAGCTGGGAGGGTTACACAGTTAACTGATTAATTAAATGAGATCAGTGAGTCCAGTCAGTCCTTTAGTTACAGTAAGACTGAGTAAAGTCCATACGTGACAGTGCGTAGACATCGATTACAGAGCAGTTACACATCATGGTGAGCTGTAAATTCTCTGGTTCAAACTCACCTCTGTGACGGTTCCTTCCACAGTCACTTCGGTCCTGTCAGCAGCTGATTTGGCTTCTTTAATGGAGTAAACTGGGCTCTCAGGATAAATCAGCTTCTGTGCTTCCATCTCCAGCTGCTCTGGGACATCGACAGAACGTGTCTGTGATACTATGCTAGATGTGGTAACCTTAGGACCAGACTCATCTTGTATTAGCTTCCTGAACAAGTAGGAGCTCCCCTCCTGTAATTTTTTATGGTGATCTTTTCCGTATACTGTCATTTTAATGCTGCCTGTTTCATCTGCAACCCCCAGATAAAATAAACACTTTTTCTCTTTCGCTTTGGTTTTGTATGTGCGCAGCCCGGATTTCTGAACAACTTTTGCAGCAATGAATTGTGTCTCAAGGATTCCGGTGGATTTCACATCGCAGATGGATATCTTCTGCATGCAGGAGAGAAAAAATCAGTGTTAGTGTAATTAGTGTAACATATCTATATGTGGTAAAGGTTTGTGTTGATATGACATCATATAGGCTCTGACAGTATTTAAGTTTACACAACAGTTTCTGTATGTTTTGAACAGTGTTTGGCAGAGGACTATACTGAGGTTATGTTTATATTTACTTTATTTATGTGTTAGCATGCGGGCACAAGTTATTTACGTCAGGTATGGTGCCGTTAGGCAGTTTAGTGCGTATGACAGTAGGATATTGGGGAGGTCATGCGTAAAGACGACATGAGGTTTGTGTTGATTTGGATCGTAATAAGTTTTTAACCATGTTACGCAGTGTTGAAATATAATAATGGGAATATGAGAGCTCTGGCTTGTTCGCAGTCATCGTTAGGAAAGACCAGGTGATGCAAATTTCAAAGCTTTATAAATACTTTGCATGGTCAGTGCTCAGTAGCGCCCCCTTTGGCAGGTACCACAGCTTCTAAACACTTTCTGTATCCAGCTCAGAGTCTTTCAGTTCTTGTTTGGAGGATTTCTTGCAGCTCTGTGAGATTCTTGGGCCGTCTTCATGCTCTGCTCTTTGAGCTCTATCCACAGATGTTTAATGATGTTTAGGTCGGGGGACTGTGAGGGGCGTGGCCAAACCTTCAGCTGGCTCCTCTTGAGGTCGTCCATTGTGGATCTGGAGGTGTGTTTAGGATCATTGTCCTGTTGTAGAAGCCATCCTCTCTTCATCTGCAGCTTTTTTACAGATGCTGTGATGTCTGGAATTTAACTGAATCCATTCTTCCCTCTACCTGTGAAATGTTCCCTGTGCCACTGGCTGCAACACAAGCCCAAAGCATCATCCATCCACCCCCGTGTTTAACAGTTTGTTCTCCAAACATACCTTTGCTCATTTTGTCAAAAGATTTCTGTTTTACCTTCATCAGTCCACAGGACTTGTTTCCAGAAAGCATCAGGCTTGTTCAGATGTTCCTTTGCAAATTTCTGACGCTGAATGTTGTGGTGAGGACACAGGAAAGGTTTTCTTCTGATGACTCTTCCATGAAGCTCATATTTGTCNAATCTTCCTGCAGGTCTTTTGCAGTCAAACAGAGGTTTGATTTGCCTTTCTAACAATCCTACGAGCAGCTCTCTCACAAAGTTTTCAGCTTGACCTCCACAGTTCCTGTTAACTGCCATTTCTTACTGACATGACCAACTGAGGAAACAGCTCCCTGAAAACACTTTGCTATCTTCTTCTAGTCTTCATCAGGTCTTTTAGTTTTCAGAGTGCTAGGCAGCTGTTTAGAGGAGCCCATGGCTGCTGATTGTTGGGACAAGGTTTCAGGAGTCAGAGGAATTATAAAGCTTTGAAATCTGCATCACCTGGCCTTTCATCTTTAACTTCATCAGTTCATCTTATACTCACTTAACTATCCAGTAAATGAAATTTTGACCAGGGGTGCCCAAACTTTTGCAGCCACTGTAGAAACATAGTGTAGCTGTCAAATGTTTCAGCCATTAAAGAAAATTCAAAGAAAAATCACTTACCTGAGAAGGAGTGTTTCTATCCTGCAAAACAAAGAGCTCATCAATGCTCAGTTCTTAAATATCAGACACTAACATGGTTACTGTATATTCTAAAATACTTTAGTGCTGTGTTAGTGAATGTTGCCACAGAGCCACAAGACATAATGTACTGGAAGTATTTTGACATCCATCGTATTCGCCAGTTTGTACGAATGTGCACAAGGTGAATTAACTAACTAACTCTCACCATGTTGGGTTGGGAGCTCCTCTGCTGATCTGTAAAAGGAGAGACAAACATCAGGCATTGTTTCATATCTGATCTATTTCATTCATCAGCACTTTCAACTAAAATTAAAGTCTTGTTTAATTGATCTGCATACAGGCAGTGTCAGTTCAGATACACACAGAAACAGCAGCCTCCTTTATTCTGACTTACTTAAATTCATTTAATACAGATGTTTGTTCTGTTAACGTTGGTAAAATGTATTCCAGTCGTTGTGGCTGAAAAGGCTGCTCATGTAAATGTGGTGGGGGTGAAACATGCTGTGGTTCAAAAACATTTGGGAATCAGTGATTTCAAATAATTTGGATAAACTGCTGATTTGTTTCTGATCTGTGTCACAGTCTGTTTCTTTTAGTGACCTCACCATTTTCACACATCTCAGATATTAACTTGGTGAAAGTAATTTTTTTTTTATTGCTGGTAGAAATGGTGAATAAAACTGTGAAAATAAGTGACTGATAAAAACCGTTACTACAAATTACTCAGGATTTTAGACTGAAGTGGGGCCACATCTGTCGGCACGTCATCCCTCTCCTCACGTTTCCTCTTCTGCCCTGAAAAATACATTTGAAAATATGGATTTAAATACAAACACAGATAGTTCAGTTCACTGTTTGTGTCCTGTGTGAAACCAAAAGTCAACATTGATTTATTTGAACGTATGTATGTAACCTGACTTACGTAGCGTACTTAACTTTGTCACGTTAAGTATGTAAGTAAACATAATGTTGTCTACGTAACATAATGTTACAGACAAACGCAGGACTTTGACCCAGGAGATGGCTGTTTGTGTCCTGTGTGAAACCAAAAGTCAACACTGACTTATTTTAACCTAAACTGAACTGCGACCTGCAAAATGCTTCGGGTCTCATTCATGAAGTGTTCCTAAATCTGTGAGTAGAGCTGCACGTAAAAAACCTTGGTGATAAAAATTTACACCGGATTCATGAACGCAGCAGAAAACTCGCATCTGATCGTAGACACGTATTTATGTTGAATAAATCATAAACTGACAGCGTGCGCGCCCTCTTCAGCAGTTAGCATACATCCCCACCCATGAATATCCAGTGACGGAGCAAACAAAGAAAGAGAAAGAAAAACTTTTCTGACACTGAGACTGAAGTTATTTTAGGTGAAGTGAAGCTGAGAAAAATCATTTTATTTTCTTCTGTTAGTGGTGGTGTGTCAGAGACAGGTTACATCAGGTAACTGGTGCCGTTAACTCTGTTTACTGTTTTGTAAGAACCTACAAAACCGGCTCCACATCAAACTGGATACAGAATAATCCATTTGGAATAATCCAAAATGTGTTGTTTGCCCGACAAGCAAGTTTGAGTCGAGCCCCTCCCTCTTCAGTCTTCCTTGTGTCAGCTGCACGCAAATCAAGCACTGTGCAGAGCAGCATCACGTCCCCATCTCGGACAGCCACGTAACAACTGTGGTTGCCCTCAGCCTCGGCATTCTTTGCCTCTGTTGTGAAATTAAACCACTATAAAAACATCTTAATACAGGCAGTCTGATGTCGCCAATAATCACCGTTAAGTTTAACAACAAGTCAGACAGTCTGGTGTAAAATCACACCGTCTCCCTCCAACTCTCTGTGTCTGCTCACACTGGGCTGCTGGTGAACTCTGATCTGACAGACACTGAATCGCTTTCCCACGTCCACAGGTCTTATTAAACCAAAACTCATTAAAAAATAAAGTTTACGTTTCCCAGTTTTAGTTTTAGAAGTTTTAGAGTCCTCACATCACTTGCAGAGATCCAAGGGGAGAGGAGGTAGCAACACAACTCCACCTAATGGAGGCTGACGGCGCCCCAGATTCAAACGTCCAAGAACACATAATTGAAACCACAAAATATCTCCATACTGCTCGTCTGTAGTGATCCAAGAGCTGCAGGCTACAATGAGGCTAAAAACAGAGTTCAAATGAGGTTTTTCCAAACAACTTTTTATGTCGGGGCTTCAGGACACTTGGATCACTACGGACGAGCAGTATGGAGATATTTTGTGGTTTCAATTATGTGTTTTTGGACGTTTGAATCTGGGGCGCCGTCAGCCTCCATTAGGTGGAGTTGTGTTGCTACCTCCTCTCCCCTTGGATCTCTGCAAGTGATGTGAGGACTCTAAAACTTCACCTGAGCCTCCCTCGGCATATGGGTGAGTAGATAATGGCTGAATTTTTATTTTTGGGTGCACTATTCCTTTAAATCTGCTAAATGTCAACTCATTTAATTCAGTGTGTTTTACTTCTAATCTCTCGTCATGTTGTTTCAAAAGCGTCTGTGTTTGTGAACATAATAATTATTTGTATTATACAAATTAAAACTAATCTCCAACAATGACGGGCAACATGTGTGTGCTGTATCTTATTAACAGCAGCAGTCAGACGCAGGTGAAGATTTTGTTTGTACCTATGAAAAGATTGGAGCTACTAACATGTTGATGAATGCTGAATAACACGTACATTTCGCACTGTGAACAGTTTACACACAAATTCTGCTCACGTTTCATCAATGAGACCCAGTGTGTGTGTGTGTGTGTGTGTGTGTGTGTGTGTGTGTAGTATTGAAGTGAGTGCTTGAAGTGTTAGTTTGTCACCCTGGTATCAAAGTCTCCACTCTGTTCCAATGGAACAATAAAAAAGCCAAACAACTCTACAACAGTTGAATCAGATAAACTCACTCTGGGTCTCTTTCTCACGCTCCTTCCTCATTTTCTCCACATGGGGGCGCAGCAGGCTCTGGACAGGCTCATCATTCCTCGGTATTTGATGCATTATATCACTGATGAGAGCGATGGAGTCCAGTAGAGAGTAGTGCTCACAGATTATCTGGGGCATCTTTTCTCTGGACTTGAACTCACCAGTCTTCCGAGACTGGGGGATTTTAGTTAAAAGTTCCAGCGTTGTATC